CACAGTCAATCAAGATTATAAAAAACATTGACTGGTATTATATCTGCCACTGCTTCTAGTACTGTACTGTGTAAAATTTATTGATATTGTTCCCAAAGTCCCAATGACTACGGGGACCACTGAAGTGTGTTTCTTCTAGAAGCAAGACGTTTTGATTGCCAGGTCTCTGCATTTTGTTAGTTTTTTCAATTCTTTATTTTCAGCTCTGTCATCCCTCTTCCTCCTCCTCCTCCTCCTCTTCCTTCCTGTTACTGCTGCTGCTGCTGCTATTGCTATTACTACCACCACTTACTATTGTCAGTAACAGCAACATTCCCTCAGAATACTACATCTACTACTTCTCTTTCTCCTTCACTCATCTTTGTCTGTTCTTTGCAATTTCCGTTGTGAGGATGATACAGTTCTATGAACACTGTGCTATTTTTTATTTCCAAATGAAGAGCTGAGTCAGTTTCCTCAATTTTGCTATGGAGCATGCCGTCTTTGTTGATAGTGCTTTATTTAACCTACTATCCTATCATTAGAGAGGAGAGTTCCTAGAGACAGTGTTTCTACCCACATTGAAATAAATTTCTTGGACATGTAAAAGATACTGGTATGCCATGTAGGCTTTTAAAGGAACAATACCTCACTTCAGCCACTTGCCTTCCTAGATGGCCTCAGCCAAAGCACTGCTTAAGTTGTTGGATCACACCAAATAATGGATTTGCCTTAGCTGTAACTTAGAATGGAAACCATGGCTTTGCATTGACGCCGAGGGAGGCCCGAAAGGAAAAAAACAAGAAACCGGGCCTTCTCGGCGGTGGCTCCTCGCCTCTGGAATAGCCTTCCTCCGGAGATTCGTGCTGCCCCTTCGCTGGGCATCTTTAAAAACCAACTGAAAACCTGGATGTTTGTGCAGGCCTTCCCTCCAGCTAATGCTTGATTTCTTTTTCTTTTTTCTTTTTCTTTTTATATTTTCTCTTTTTCCCTTCTTTTATCTTGAATAACTTGTCTATTGATGTTTAAAAATTTTGTTATATTTTATATATGGTTATATATGTTGGTAGCTGCCTAGAGTGGTCGTTTGACCAGACAGGTGGGGTATAAATACAATAAAATAGATAGATAGATAGATAGATAGATAGATAGATAGATAGATAGATAGATAGATAGATAGATAGATAGATAGATAGATAGATAGATTGATTGATTGATTGATTGATTGATTGATTGATTGATTGATTGATTGATTGATTGATTGATTGATTGATTGATTGATTGATTGATTGAACTTCCAAACTTAATAACTGGCAAAATACTCAGATTAGAGTTCTTTTTCTTCTTTTGCGATCTGTCTTCTCAGCCCTCAAATTTATAGGGACTCCTTAGTCTTCGTAGTGTAGCAATCCCTGGAAGCAGATTGATGCCACATCAATGGTCTGTCAGTTCAGACAGTATGTCGAACTGTAAATCCAGCTTCTATAAATCGTGGTTTGACATGAAGCCTAAATCTGAGCCCTTGCTCTTCAGTCTTGGGGAACTCAGCCAGCAGTGTCCTATTTGCAAGACTGTTGTAACAATCAGGGTAATTATATAAATTAAGAGCTTTGAAATCTCAAAGTGCTATACTAATGCATCTCAGCTAAATGCATCTCCTGAAGATATAAGAGACTAAATTAGAGATGAGATATTTGTATTCGTCTCCCAGGAGAGATGAATACGACTGTCGCCACCACAGGTGGCTGGGCCCTTTGGACCTACTCCCCAGAACTGGTTGGCCCACTTACTCCTTGTAGCGCGGCAGATGCAGCTGTAGTTGTTCGTGCTGTGCCAATCATGGAAGTCACCCAGCCGGCACTTCCCTGCCTCCCTGTGCTACTGACCAATTAGCAGCTGAACAGGGAAACTCATCATCCTGCCTCCTCACTGGAGTGGATAGCAACGCTGGGAGACAGGAAAGTGCCAGCCGGGCTACTTCTGCAATTAGTGTGGTGCAAACGATGATGACTACAAGCGGTAAGTAGACCAGCTGGTTCTGGGGGGTTGGTTCCAAAGGGCCCCCCACCTGTGGTGGCGATATTCCTATTTGTCTTCCCCAGGCGACGAATATGAAGATCCCATCTCTAGACAAAATAGTTCTTTCTCTAATTTTTTAAAGGGAAGACTGCTATTTTGAACTGCAGCCAGATGTGTTCTTTCCCCACCAATACAGATTTTTAAATTATACATCAGGCTAATGGTGCCTGTTTCTGTGAGGTAGCACCATAATATCAGTTTAGTATATTAGTAGCTGTCATGTGCCTGTTGGTGAGTTGGGAAGTGGTTCATTGTTGATCTGGTCAATTCGTATGAAGACTTGTTCCACCTTTGAGCTAAAGTTGTGTAGTGCAGATAAATGTGACTTGTTTCACATGGTGGTATACAGAGAATCGCTCTTATTTTCATTTGTGCTGGTCTGAGAATCTATTCAAAATTTTCCCAATTGCTCTGTTCTCTTCTTCCCTTACTTTGCTTCACCCCATCCGTATCTCACAGATCCCAGGCCAGCAACTGGGCAAGTGAAACACTCATTACCCAGGGATGGTGCTACTATCTTTTTCTCATTGGACTAAAACCTTTGAAGTTTGTGCTAAGTCTGTGAGGATGTGGATAATTGTGCAATATAACGGAACAGTTGTAAAGCAGTCAACAATGTTTTTTTTTTAAATAGCTCCACATTCAAAACCCTTTCTTTCTTTCTTTCCAGTGTAAGCCACATTACTGTTTCGAATAAGGGTGCCTAAAATTGTGGGCAGTATTGCAGAAGGTGCTGATATTGTGAAATATTTTGGGAAATTGATTTTGAAGGAGAACATTTAAAAGCTTTTTTTAACAAGTTTGACACTTAATGGCTCTGGAAAACAGAATTACATCAAGCTGGCACTTTTGTGTGGTCCACTGTTACCTAATACAGTAACAGGATATTTTGATCCAGATTGATTTGCGATTTGTTCTAAGAGGAATGCATGGATCTTTGGTCTTTCTGATGATCTTTCTGATACTGTTCTATTAAATCTGGTTCAGATCAAATCTTGACTTCCTGGTTTGACCAGTTGTTAGTGAGTGTAGTTCAGAGACTGACTTTTTTCCTCCTAGAATCTTAATACAGAATAGTGCCGGGGTTGAGGAACAAGCACATTCTTAGAACTAAGGTTGCCAGGAGAGCCACATGTTCAGCTGAGGCATTTCCTTCACTGCCTGCCATTTTTAAATTGTGGGACTGTGAATCCCTTACCAATTAAATGCAATCACCCAGCAGTGTGTCAATATATCTGCTCTGGATTGTGTATTTACCTTTCAGGCTTAAAAATTAATAGGGAAGAGAGCAATATCAGTGACTTTTAGAAAACAGGAACAAAGTAACAATCCTATACTGAAGGTTTCCTTGACACCATCACATTATAGTAAAGCACTCTGTAAGTGTCAAATTTCTGAACCTGATCACTATTGGACACTAGATACTGAGCTGGGCAAACCCCAGATCTTACCAAGAACAGCTGTGCTTATGTTTAGATGGCTTGCCTCTCTCAATCTGTGCTGTCTGATCGCTCTGAACAATAATGCTAGCATTATTTATGCAAGGAGAGATTTGAAGTGCCTCCAAACCAAAATAGGAAGTATTAAAGGGGTGTGGTTTGAAAATTTGGGGGTGTATTGTAAGGGTCCCAAGTGCACATACCCAAGATTATAGACACAAAGCCATCATTTTGCTGGGTCCTTTGTCTCTGCGTGCAGCCGTAGCTTCTTGGAACTGTCATCGGTGTAATACTCTGTCAATTGTGAATGTGCTTGGCAGTGCCAATGGCCGCCAGCCGCTTGGCTTGGGTAACAGCTGAACTGAAAGTCTGAAAAGATTGTGAGATATTATTTTTCTCTTTCCCTGCTGGTAGCTCTCTCTCGTGTGCAGGAGAAGGCTCTCTGTGGCTCGTTTGCTTTGCATCTCTGCACTAAATACTGAAAGGCAAAGATTTCTCTCTCTATCCTAGAACAAGAAGTAGATGGATTTTGTCCCACCAGGCAGTATTGCATCCTGCAGAATTGCAGTATCCGCAGAGTAGAGCAGATCTGTTGTCAAGAGACCAAACTGTGTTAGACTGAGAAGATTTGCTGAAAGGGTTGCCGTGTCGGAGGATACCCCACTTCTCACTGTAGACCCTGTCGAACAATGGAACACCACATGCACTCCACTGCATGTGAAA